GAGTCTACTAAAGTTACATACGGGTGAAAGGGTTAAGTAACCACATCTTACATATTGTTTGTAATAAATACCTTTTTGATGCTCTGTTTTGTTTTTGTATAAGAAGTCTAAATAATACTAAAAGCTTTTGGTTAAGCTTAGAAAAGTCCTAAATATACCTGCACAGGTCATCATGGAAGGTCATTCCCAGTTAGACCTTCACATTAATACTGGTGACTTAATTGACAGGTGTGGTATCAACATGTATACAAATTAATCAATGATTTACATTTTGTTGGAGACAGTATCACATCGTTTGTTTGTTTCATTAGTAGTTCTGAGAGGGATGGGGATTTCAACAGTTTCAAAGTTATGACCCAGGGATTAAGTCTGCAAGGGTGGGGAGGACCCTGGGGTCAATTCTAATATCATGACTGCATTCGTCTCTTTATGCCCAGCATTTGTATATATAGTTCTGGGGTGGGGATCTCAACCGTTTCATACTGTGATTGGAAGTCTATTGGTTGCTGTTCTAAGTATTTCTTTACCCAATGTTGCAGTTTCATCAATAGATGAAAGTAATGATTCCACGAGTTGAATTCATTAATTGTAATTCAGTGGCAGTAAAAAATGTTTTATGATAATTATATACAACAGCTGTTCAAAAGTGACATTTGCAAACAATTCTCTCATCTGTGGCAATTGGAAGGGTTTCTAAACATCAATAATAGTATCATAAAGTATGCAAGTTGCACAATTGTACACTGAAACAGATTACATCATACACTTTGGTGTAGTAATTACACTAATTCTGATTACATCATTATTTATAGTTTACACTAAAACAGATTACATCATACAATTTGGTGTAGCAATTAAACTAATTCTGATTACATCATTACTTATGGTGTACACTAAAACAGATTACATCATACAATTTGGTGTAGTAATTAAACTAATTCTGATTACATCATTATTTATAGTGTACACTAAAACAGATTACATCATTCAATTTGGTGTAGTAATTACACTAATACTGATTACATCATTATTTATAGTGTACACTAAAACAGATTACATCATTCAGTTTGGTGTAGTAATTACACTAATACTGATTAAACAGATTAAATAATTATTTATAGTGTACTGATTAAACAGATTACAGCATTATTTATAGTTTATTGATATACTGAAACAGATTACAGCATTATTTATAGTTTATTGATACAATTAAACATATTACAGTACATGTATTATTTATAGTGTACTGATACAATTAAACAGATTACAGCATTATGTATAGCTATATAGTTTATTGATACACTGAAATAGATTAAATCATTATTTATAGTTTATTGATACACTGAAACAGATTACAGCTTTATTTATAGTTTATTGATACCCTGAAACAGATTACAGCATTATTTATAGTTTATTGATACACTGAAACAGATTAAATCATTATTTATAGTTTATTGATACACTGACACAGATTAAAGCATTATTTATAGATTATTGATACAATTAAACATATTACAGTACATGTTTTATTGATAGTGTACTGATACAATTAAACAGATTACAGCATTATGTATAGCTATATAGTTTATTGATACACTGAAACAGATTACAGCTTTATTGATAGTTTATTGATACCCTGAAACAGATTACAGCATTATTTATAGTTGATTGATACACTGAAACAGATTGCAGCATTATTTATAGTTTATTGATACACTGAAACAGATTACATCATTCAATTTGGTGTAGTAATTACACTAATACTGATTAAATAGATTAAATAATTATTTATAGTGTACTGATTAAACAGACTACAGCATTATTTATAGTTTATTGATACACTGAAACAGATTACAGCATTATTTATAGTTTATTGATACAATTAAACATATTACAGTACATGTATTATTTATAGTGTACTGATACAATTAAACAGATTACAGCATTATGTATAGCTATATAGTTTATTGATACACTGAAACAGATTACAGCTTTATTTATAGTTTATTGATACACTGAAACAGATTGCAGCATTATTTATAGTTTATTGATACTCTGAAACAGATTACAGCAGTATTTATAGTTTATTGATACACTAAAACAGATTACATCATTCAATTTGGTGTAGTAATTACACTAATACTGATTAAACAGATTAAATAATTATTTATAGTGTACCGATTAAACAGATTACAGCATTATTTATAGTTTATTGATACACTGAAACAGATTACAGCATTATTTATAGTTTATTGATACAATTAAACATATTACAGTACATGTATTATTTATAGTGTACTGATACAATTAAACAGATTACAGCATTATGTATAGCTATATAGTTTATTGATACACTGAAACAGATTAAATCATTATTTATAGTTTATTGATACACTGAAACAGATTACAGCTTTATTGATAGTTTATTGATACCCTGAAACAGATTACAGCATTATTTATAGTTTATTGATACACTGAAACAGATTGCAGCATTATTTATAGTTTATTGTTACTCTGAAACAGATTACAGCAGTATTTATAGTTTATTGATACACTAAAACAGATTACATCATTCAATTTGGTGTAGTAATTACACTAATACTGATTAAACAGATTAAATAATTATTTATAGTGTACTGATTAAACAGACTACAGCATTATTTATAGTTTATTGATACACTGAAACAGATTACAGCATTATTTATAGTTTATTGATACAATTAAACATATTACAGTACATGTATTATTTATAGTGTACTGATACAATTAAACAGATTACAGCATTATGTATAGCTATATAGTTTATTGATACACTGAAACAGATTAAATCATTATTTATAGTTTATTGATACACTGAAACATATTACAGCATTATTTATAGTTTATTGATACCCTGAAACATATTACAGCATTATTTATAGTTTATTGATATACTGAAACAGATTGCAGCATTATTTATAGTTTATTGATACACTGAAACAGATTACAGCAGTATTTATAGTTTATTGATACACTTTAATAGATATATATTACAGCATTATTTATATTGTGCTTGTAAGATATTTTCAGGCATTTGTACAAGCTCCATTGATATAAATGTTAAGCTGGCTCTAAGAAAGGTGCAGATCTAGAGTCCACCAGGAAACACAAAGAGCATGATGACTCAAATATCAATGTCCCAAAAATGACTGACACTAATACAACAAGATTACATCCATGATACAGCTGGTGTACATATATACAATGTTATAATACTATACCACAGTGTACATGTATGTACCGTTTTTGACCAAATAAGTGCCCAACCTGTCCATTAAGCTTAATATCCATTTTCTGGTCTTTGCCTTCATTCTTTTTACCACAGTTAATAAAAATATAAACTTACTTTAAAATAAAGGGGAAATGATACCCATCGTCCGCTAGTGGAAGTTCAGTGGAGTTCTATGTACCCCGTTGATGGATTCCTAAATAGAATTCTCTAGTCCGGTCACGGTAGTCTAGTGGTAGGACGCCGGGCTCGTGACCAAAGGGTTGCGCGTTCGAGTCACAGCACAGCACTGTGTTGTATCTTTGAGCAAGATACTTTACTCCGCTTGTTCCAGTCTACTCAGCTGTAAATGAGTATGTGGTTGGGCAACGCTAGAATTGTTGAATGCTAGCTGTTAGCACCGAAATGGCAGCACCGGCTGTATGCTCCCCAGGGCCGGAGTTGAGAAAGATATTGGCTGGTTGCAAAGGCCCTATAACCACGGATAATAATTTGTGAACCGCTTTGAGACGACCCAGAACTAGGTTGTGATAAAGCGGTATATAAGAACCTCGAATTATTATTATTATTATTATTATTATAAAAGTAATTGAAATTAAGAATTAAAACCAATTTTAAAAAATACTGCCAAATCTCTTGCAATATTCTCACAGACATTGCAACTACATATGTATACTATGCTGTCATTGTTCCATTTAATTATTGTAGACCTTGCTGTATACAGTTTGTACTTTAGGGATCTTTTGAAATTGAACATTGTTCTGATGAACAAGCAAACTGGATTAAATTTGCCAAGACTCCCCATTTGTTGTCTGGTCATATTTTCTTTTGAATTTCTTTAAAATTGTGTATATTATGGCAAAGTTGTAAGAATTTTTGTGCCCAGGGTTCTTACTAGGTGAATTACAGTACACTAAACAAATCAGTCAAATATAGCGGACCTGATAATACACTAAACTAATTATGTCATACTGTATATATATTATATAAATACAAAAAACATCAAAAGTCCTTGTAATGGTTAAATATAAAAGAGATTGGGATACAAAGATTTTCTAAATTCCCTAGTATACTTTCAACTCTTTAAAGGTTCAATCAGCAAATGTAATTATTATGTTATATATTAACACCTTTCAAATAATATATAAAGTGCACTAATTAAACGCCGAACAAATGACGTCATTTTAGTATATATGTATATAAGGCAGACATACATTAACGGTCTATTACATAATATATATGGTGTAGGAATTATACACAGAGAAAATGACGTCATTTCGGTATAATATAAATTTACTGATGTTGTAATATATATATATATAAAAGGCATACAAACTTTAACACTTATTACATAATATATGGTGCCCAGACACTTTAGGAACAAATTATACCTTAACATGTTACAGTGTACTTGTAAATGTCCTTGGTAAAACAGTTTTGTCATGACAACTTTTGTATATCCATAAAAAAGAGGATTGTACAACCAAACGGCAACACATCCATGCCTAAACATGTAACATGGATTATGTAACTACCTGCAATCTATACTGCACTGTGCAGCTATATATATATATATGTGTGTGTATTTTGTGTGTGTATGAGCCCCTATGTCCTGGTTCCACATATATATATATATATATATAAATACACAGTGCTTGCCACTGTGATAGTCTAATGAAAATTTTAAACATACTATATAGAAATATAAAAATTCTGTTATAATAAACAACATGCATTTTGCGCTGCACTGTGCAGCATGCATGTGTATGTGTGTGTGTTTGCATTTTAAGCTGTTACTATTTGCTGTAGAGATGTACATGCAGTCCGCCTACCTCAGCAGCAGAGGTTAGCTGCCTGAGACGTGCACACACAGAAATTTTGCAGCTGCATATCGAGAGAAGGAATTGATTTGCTGCATATTATTGGGGAATTTATTATCTCGGTGCATACAACTGCATGTTAAAGAAAACCCAACGAGTGCGTGCAGCAGGCTCGCCCGGGGATTTACATGGCGAATCTAGACTCAATTGTTTTAGACTTGGATGATACAACTGTGTTGGACATGTGGTAATGTTGACCATTCAGGAAATGACCACACCAGTGACAGTCTGTGTTAGAGGTGTGCGAGCTTAACTAAGGGAGTTGTTGATAAGGAACCTATACTACTGCTCCGAGGATCTTGGAGGGTTTGTCTGTGTGTATATGATGGTATGTCGGTCTGGACTGTATTGGATTTTAAAGCTGTACCCTAGTGATTGTAATATATTGGACAGCGTGTGTGTGTGTGTACAGTGCAGTGCACAGAGTCATTGAGGTGCATCACTTGTTATGTAATGTAAGTGCTGTGTGCATTGTGAGGAGCTGGCGGAGTGTAGACATATACAGAGTATTGATACCTGTCTACAGGCAGTGCCTTAGAGGCCTCACCTGGAGAGAAAAAGTTTACTGCATGATAACACAAGGCTGAGTGTGTCTGCTTCATCATACAGACAACTACAATCTACTACGATTGTATACAGCTCACAGGGGAACTCTTTAAGGTGGAGTTGAGGATACACCACAGATTCCCTCAAATTACACAACTGACTTACTCATAGGAGCGGTTTTCATGAAACATATACAGGTGACCATGCCGGCTCGAGACTTCAAAAAAAAAGTTTTGAGTACCGACTGCTGCACATGTGCATATCCGTAAACAAGGGCAGTTTTTGAACATGGGCGTTCAATTATTATACGCACATTTTTCATCTTTTACAAATGTTGGGACTCTTCTCGTTAATGGGCTAGCACTTTGTGGATTTATTTATATATTTTTGAGATTCTGTTCGTGTTGATGACGATCTATAGGTATTTGCGATGGTGACGCTATACTGACATGTACGAAGATGTACAATCATGGCTACATCTCATTTTTAGATAAACTTTGATTATGTTATATGTGTACCTGCGTGAAAAATCTTCAAATGCATTTTTCGTGAAAGATTATAAACCTTCGAGAAGCATCATGGCTCATCAATTTGTTTTGAAATTGTGAACAAAGTCGATGGGATATTAAAATTCTGATCCATATATATGGAATAGAAGGACATAATATAAGAAGAATATGTAAATGCTGATATTATGGATTATGTGCTCAATATAAATATATCTTCATATCCGTTATATTTTTAATAAAAGTAGGCAGTGACGTATTACTTTTTAAGGATGTAGAATTTTCTCAATGCCCTTTTGTCTGTCTTAGTTTATTGAACCCTAAAAGTTGTAAAAACCGGTGTGTGATCATGGTGCTGAGATTTCAAAATATGAATACTTTTGTTTCGTTTCCACTTACAACTTAACACCCGTTAATGAAATGATCACGTTATGAAATTCACGCTGTTTAATTCAGGTTCGTAGTGCAATGTGCATGCACGAATGTGTTTTGCCTACCAGGCGGATGACAGGTTAGATAAAACTGCAGTGACTCGTGAAAGGTTGGGATGACTCGTGGTTGCGGGCAGTAACCTCTGTGTTCACCCCTCTGTTGCCCTGCCATGTTCTAACTACTGACGATGTAGAGTATTTTGTAACCTACTGCCATGCGATGGACCCATGGTTTGAGAATTTCAAGATATTACTGACTTATTGGTTGATGTCTACAAACAGGGACAACGCGAATCTCAACATGGCCGACACGACAGTGAGCTCACCTCCCTCGCAGCACTACAGCGACCACCTCCAGCCACACCTATCCATGCCGCCGCCGCCGCCCCAGGGGCATAGCCACATGGGGCCCATGGGACCCTCGCCTCCACAGACCAGCATGTCCCGGGGGGTCGGGGCTTACAGCATGCCCCCAGCACCACTCAACACACCGATGCCTCAACCAACACAGAGCACGAATTGCCCAGTGAACAGAGGTAGGTGTAGACACGCAGGGTTCTGCAGGGGGTTCCTTGATTTCGACCGATTTTCCATAATAATTTATGCATTTTTTTCCACGCCTATTCTATTCATGACAATATGTAAAACATGAAACGTCATCTAAAGCTTTGGAAAACTTCATCTTGTTCTTTTCGTCCCAGATTTCTTGTCTCAAGGATATGTTTAATTTACATGTCACTCATGGTAACTGTCTGGAATTGAAATTCATAAAAAGTTATTACTTTGAGGATATTTTCAGATAATTATGAAACATCTGACATTTCTGACACAAACAAATGATAAAAATTTCTAATTTTATGCACCTAAACACCGCCACGCATGTCAATCAGGTACTAAATTTTGAGGATTTGATTGTTGCCTGCGATATTAAATGACCTATAGGTTATATTTCAATTTATGAAGCATTTATATGAATCTTTGCCTGTAGAAATATAAACCTTAATGAAGATTTCTTTATTTTAATGTTTAAAATCAAATGTAGTTTCATTTGATACTTAAGGAAGTTTAAACTTTTTGAACTGAATTTTAAATAATTATGAATCAATTTTATGTCCAGGAATAAAAGAAAATATTTATTCAACAGTTTTTCTACTGTTTTCTTAAATGTAGAACAAAACTGTTAAACCACAATACCTGTTAAAAATTAAATTAATCAAGATATGTCTCTGTAAAGTACGGGTCATATTGGGTTCTCAATTTTTCGCTTTTCTTTTCTGTAAAGAAAAAAGGAGAAAATAATTGCTCGTGTGTTTGTGAAATCATAAAATATTTCATCTGTTTAATTTGTTAAAATTTATCTGGAGGAATTACTGGAAACAATTTAAACGGATTATGCTGTGTTAATTTGATTCTTAATGTCATTAAATTAAATTGGTTCAAATTATTACCTTTAAGAAATCTTAAACTTCCAGACTCAAAATACATTCTTTCATATATAAATTGACTTACTTTCTCTAGATCTTTAGTGATCATTCAAATTTTAATCTTGATGAAACAGATGTTACATTATATTTGACTTTGCTATTTCGGACCAAGTTCATTGTTCATTTATAGTGTGTACAGTGGGAATTTTCATAAATATCATTGAGAAACAGAAAGCTGATAAGTATATTTGCTGTTCAGTCCGCCTATTGTAGTAATTCAAATTTTAATCTGGATGAAATAGATTCTAAATTATCATTGTTCATTCAGTGTGTTTAGTGGGCAATTTTATAATTATCATTGAGAAACAGAAAGCTGTTAAGTATATTTGCTGTTCAGTTCGCCTATTGTGAGTTATTCAAGTTATAATCTTGATGAAATATATTTTACATTCTATTTGACTAATTTACTAGTTCGGTCTTCATTGTTCATTAATAGTGTGTTCAGTGGGAAATTTTATAATTATCATTGAGAAAGCTTAAGTTTATTTGCTGTTCAGTTCACCTTTTCAAAAAAAAAACGTGATATAGTTTGTGGTCATACTAGCGTTGGTGTTGGCATTGATTATGTTATTGTTTTACCAGAATTATTGACACATGTACGAATCTATAAACCTTCAGGTCTTGTACTAGGATGTTAGTAATAATTGGCATGCATAGGTTCCCAGAGGTCAATAGAGATAGACACAGTGCAGCGAAAGCAGAAGAAAATCTGTTTCTTTTTTTAGAGTTTTTACTTATTTTTGATTCAGCTATTTTGGCCAAATTATCGAGGTTACATTTTTGGCATTAATGCCAACATTCATAAATATAATTGCCAGTTGTTGTACAAAGATGCCCAGCTATTTGGTAAAGATATTCCTACTTGTTGAAGCATTGATGAGGTGCAATAAGATCATGATATGTTTTTCTTTTGATTGTGTTTGAGCAATTTTAGACTTATAGGTAAGCCATTTTCATGGAGAACTTGTTAAATCTTTTAACTATTTAGAAGTATAAATATATTACTAATCAACAGCTGTTTTAGAAATATAGATATTTTATTAATCAACAGCTGTTAAATCATTTAAACTATTTAGAAATATAGGTATATTAATTATTAATCAACAGCTGTTTTAGAAATATAGATATTTTATTAATCAAAAGCTGTTAAATCTTTTAAACTATTTAGAAATATAAATATCTTATTAATCAACAGCTGCTTAATAGTATGTGGGTTGTTCTTGTTAAGGAGTAGAACCCCACATATTTTGGGGATGGTCTGCTAAAGGTCAAGGTCACCATTTAAAAAAATAGAATTTTACATAACAAATTACCTGGCCAAATGCTTACTTTAAAACTAACTGATCATATATAAAGAACCCTATTGAATTTTGGACATTATTGTTGTAGGTCAACATTTCAGTTACTAAATAAATAAATAAAAAATAAATGATCATACTGGTTGTGTCAATTGCACTCAAGGTAATCTATTGAATTTAGGCATGGTCAGTCCAAGGTCAAGGTCAATTTTGCTGAAAATAGAATTTCAAATAACAAAGGACTTTTCTGAAAGCTTACTTCAGGACAAACGATTGCAAAATAATTTGTTTGGCGGTTGTTCTTGGGAATTAACCTGTCAAAGGTCAAGGTCTCTCTTACTGTAAATATTTTCCAGTCCTTAGAACTTGAGAACAAATGATTCTGCAAAGATCAGTGTCAGAGTTGCACTGGATAAAGGGAAGGATCCTATTCATTTTTTGGGTGTGATTTCTCCGAGGTCAAGGTCAATGCTACTTTAACTCATTCACCCCTGAAACCACATTTGAACTCTTACAATTCAAAGGTTGGAATAGTCAATTATGGAATTTTACGGGTGAATGAGTTGAATAAATCAGTCTAGAACTTAACTTCAAAGTAACAACTTCCAACTGTAAATGCAGTAGCAAACATTTCACAAGCACAGCCACCCGTCTTGATGAAAAATATTCATGTATATTTTTACGGGGTAGTCAGGGAAAAGGATGATAGACTGTTAGAACGCTTCCTTGTGTTATTTTAATACTTTCATTTATATGGTGTTCTGTATTCGTTATATTTATATGCACATTACGCAGTCTACATTGTTGTTAGAAGTGTTAAAAATAAATACTGCAAAGTTTAGATTGTTATCATTCTCATAACAGGTATATTACATAATATTTGAATGCACCAGCTAATGTGTTAATGACAAACTGGTAACGTTTTAATTTAAAAAAAATCGAAAAAGCTACATTTGATAACTGCGTCAAACACAGACTTTAAAACCTTGTAGTTTTTAAAGGCAGCTATAGTTAACAGTGTTAGCTTACATTTACTCTCAGCTACCAGTCAGTAAACAAGTTATAGTCTCATTGATATAAATGAAATACATTAAAGAATGTGATTGCTGTGACAACGGGTACGACTATAGGGTGAGAGCCGGGTGACATTGTGCTGTGTCTATGGGTGTCCGATACCATGTTGTTATATTCTTGCGGGTTTGCCATTGCAAGGCTGCTGCTCAGACTCCGATAATAGCATGTCTGTGACCCATTCTACTTTTAGATACAAATGGCACAATTCGTAATGCAAAGGTTCAAAAGGTCAGATTTAAAGGCAGTTGATTAGTGGACAGATTAATATGTGCATGAATTCTAAGTTTATTTTAATTAGGGTTGGAAATAATACTGCGATATAATGTCTAGTGCAATAGCATAACCCTTTCAACCCTATGTAACTTTAGTAGACTCTACCATGCATTGATCTGGATGAGTCCATTATGGTCCTCAGTGGTGAAAGGGTTTAAGAGATAATTTAACAGGAATGAGGTTAAGATTGCATCAATGAATTGATCAAAGTTACCATTGCTTGGTGTGTCATAATTTACAGAACTATATCAAAAATATTTTTAAGAAATAACTGTGATATAAGTTTGCTTAACTGGCATGCTCTTTTTCATATTCCGTAAATGAATTCATTATCAAACTAAATTTCTATGTATAAAAATTGATTGTAACCTTTAGCATTGATCTGCTTTCAGTTGGCATGTAACTCATTCACCCCTGAACTTGAAGACACATTTGAATCCTTCCAATTCAAAGGTTGGACTAGTTCATTATGAAACTTCAGGGGTGAATGAGTTAGTGAATGCCAACTTGACAAAGACAAATTCATTGAAGAGTACTGAAGTGGCTTTGTACTGTTGGCATTCATATTACATATGATAGCCAATTGAAAGCAGTTCAATACTCTCGTTTGCCCATTTTGGAATATGTTTATTTCACAGAAAATTTTCAAAATTTTTTGAATTCAGTTCAAATTAGTGTATCGTATATACTTGTTCAATGAATACATCAGCCATCTTCTAAGAGAGTGTCATTATATCCAATAATACCGTTATGACGTCAACAATTGGGGCATAGCATTCATAGCTGATATGAATGCCATCTTAATGCTGTTGGGGTTATATAGTAGCAGTGCCATAATGGTTTTAACTATATCGCAACATTCCATACATATATATAAAATTCTGCCATATATTGCAATATAAAGAATGCTTGCAATTACCCATCACTAATGATTAGGCCAAATAAAAAAAAAATCCTGTTTTTCCAATAATCCTATATACACTAGATGTTTGTGCCTACCCAAAAGTTTTTATTAGCATTTAGTGATATTAAATGCACTATAAAAGTCAAAACTCTTGCTCTATATAAGCAAAGTAAAAAAATATTTTTCAAAATAAAAAAAATGCCTTTCTACCTACACTATTCTTTGTCTGAGGATGATAGCAGGAACATGAGGAATAATTTTTGCCTTAGTAATAAATATGAATGAAAACAGATAAATATAAATAACAGATGATTAATCAACAAAATTATGCTGAAGTAAACCTGATAAAAAAGAAATAGAGAATTGCTAAAAAAGATTTATGGGAACAATATAAGTTTCTTTAATAATGATAAACAGTTTCCAAACCTGGTGTTCCTTTGAATGTGCTTCTCAAGATTGACTGAGATACCGAGTTTCTTTTGGATGCAATATATAACGGGGTT